CCAATGTATCCTTTCTTTGTAAATTTAAAGAAGAAACACATTCAGCTGCACATTAAAGAGAGAAAATCGGGTTCTCATGTCTAATGGGCACAACGGTGAAACTCTTGTATTCAGATAAATACATCCTGTATTTCTCTAAAGGGACTTCTGGAACTGAAGTTGCAGCATGAGTCATCCACATAGCAGCGTTCTCTGCTTCACAAATGCTAATAGCTTTAAATGACTCAGCTGTGCATTTTCAAACTCACATGGACAAAATCTCTTCACTGTTTCTTGGTATTCATCATTTTCTGGCAAGTTTCATTTCAGCCAGAATGACTCTGAGATTGTCTAAAACTAGAACACAGTTACATGCAAACAGATTGGACAGGTAATTTAAAACCAAGAACCCAAAGGGAGCAGACCTTGAAAGGAAACTCAAACTTCCACTATTCGTAACAAAATTTTCTAGGATGAAATGAAGTCTTTAAAGAAAGAAAAAAACATCCACTTTAGAAATAGTAAACATTTATTCATTTTCTTATGGGTAGCTCTTTTCTTGGTTATAATAAGAATATTAACAAATGAACACACTTTTGATATTTAAGTGTTACAACCCCAAATTAAAGGTTTTTCATTCATTAAAGGCAAGGTACCATTTTAAAAAATAAATTAATTTTAATTACAAATGACAAGTACTTGTGGCTAGCTAAGAAATGTATTAACATTTGCTTACAATAACAAACATGTGCTTTGATATTTTCATCCCTTATTATAAAAGTAGAGTCTTTGATGAAGGCAGTTCATCAAAATTATGGTTATGCAAACATATCTGAAACTGGTAGTACCTTAAATTCAAATAAAATTCCTAACAGGATAAAATAGCAAGCATGTAGAAATTTTTGTGATCTATACATACATATTTTCATGTAAACAAAGTAAAGATAAATGAAATTAAATATTTTTGTCACCAACAAAAGTTTGAAGATTAAAAGGTTATTTTATTTTACTTCATGCTTCAATTGAACAACTGGTCTAAGCAGGAAACTAGGAATTAGATAAGTCTTTATATTTCCCTCACTCTCCTCAGGAAATTACATGGAATAAAGAGATGTCCTAGAGAGACATCTGCAGGAAAGAAATACTCTACTAATCAGCCTTCTGGAAGTCATGACTTACAATTACTGAGTCATTCTCTGAGCCCCTACTGTGAAACCACAGGGTTCATCAGACATTGCTCACTCATAAGTGGATATTAGACATATAATATAGGATACACCTACTAAAATCTGTACCCCTCAAGAAACTAATTAAGAAGGAGGACTCTGGCTAAAATGCTCAATCCCCATTCAGAAAGGCGAAGAGGATGGATATCAGAAGAAGGAGAAAACAGGGAACAGGACAGGAGCTTGCCACAGAGGGTGTCTGAAAGGATCTACCCTGCAGGGTATCAAAGCAGATGCTGAGACTTATGGCCAACCACTGGGCAGAGTGCAGGGAATCTTATGAAAGAAGTGGGAAACAGTAAGATCTGGAAAGGACAGGAGCTCCACAAGGAGAGCAACAGAACCAAAAAATCTGGGCACAGGCGTCTTTTGAGACTGATACTCCAACCAAGGACCGTGCATGGAGATAACCTAGAACCCCCGCACAGATGTAGCCTATGGCAGCTCAGTGTCCAAGTGGGTTCCATAGTAATGGGAACAGTAAAAAGAAAGTAAAGCTGGTGCTGGCCAAATCCTCCCCAGCACACATGGCAACTGGACGGGCACAGACCACGCAGACATCTTTCATTGTGGATCACCACTGGTTTCCAACCACAACTACTTTAAGATAAAACAGATGGCATTTAAATGATATTCTGGTTTTCTACAGGGCTGGAACTGAAAATCTTGGAACTGTGCTCCAGGGACCATCTGAACCAGAATCAGGCAACACACTCAATAGAATGAAAATGAACATTACTATGTCTAACCATTGACCCAGAGGCCCACGAATTTGTATTACTAGGCTTCCTTGGGGAGAATCAAACACACATTAAAGTTTAAATATCACTACTGCCAACTATTTAAAACGTCTCTTCACTCTTTCTTTTTACAAGAAATATTTTCTCATATCTTCCATGAATCATATTAGCTAGGAGGAAAAATAAATAACTTCTGATTCTGTCAGTCAGCAGTGGCTAGTAGTGGTTATTTTCCCATCAAGAAAACATGGAATAATAGGCAGCATTAAATTTTGTGCCTAAATTCCTTGATGGTGCACCATGATATTTTTTCCTAGAGCTTTCAAAATGTATATACAATAAAAATATTTAGAGTGATCTGTAAACTGTTATCTGAGCAGGTTTCCAGTGTAAGGCAAGCTGCAGCTCAACGTAGCCTTCTGCATGGATGCGCAGGCTGCCTCAGCAGTCGTTACTGAGTCCTCACCAAGTGTAGCTGCCTGTGAACAGGAGAAAGTGCCTCCAACTACACAGAAACAAGAATACAGAGCGTGAAACTCAGTTCAACTACAGTCACATGGGGAGTCTCAAAAGCTACCAGTATGAATCAATATTCACAGCGCTGTCCTTCTTGAAAGTTAAATTTTTAACATCCGTATTAATATCTGCTTGAAATCCAATTCATATTGACAATGGAAAGTAAAATGCATTTCAATGTGCTGCTAAGATCTAATACAGTGTTTAAGTCCTATATGATGCCAACAGACAAAGATGTACTTACCTTTAATAGATATAAACTAAAAATTAAAGAGGTAGGTGGCTATCATATGCAATGAACTCAACATAATATGGCGAGTAGTGTAAAGCTCTTTAAGCAGAAGGTGAGGTCCAACACCACTGAAATTGCCTCAAATTGCTTCAAGAGCAGGATTTCCCAGGTCTTTGGTGCTGTCAACAAATTTCCAGCATCACAATTCCTGGCTCTTTGATCACCTCCCCCTGAAGGGGGGTGCAGCCTTACCAGTCCACAAAGGAAGACAATGAAGCCAGTCCTGATGAGACCTGATAGGTTAGGGTCAGATGGAAGGGGAGGAGGACCTCCCTTATCATTGGACTGGGGGAGGGGCATAGGAGAAGAAGATGGAGGGAGGGTGGGATTGGGAGGGGATGGGGAAGGGGGCTGCAGCTGGGATACAAAGTGAATAAATTGTAATTAATAAAATTAAATAAAAATTTTAAAAAAAGAAAGGAAGAGCTAATGAACGTAAAGTGATACTGGAGACCAGACAATAGTCATGATATTGGCTGGGCTCTTCCAACTATACTTGCATACAAGGAAACAAATAAACAAACAACTCAGGGTTGGGTTAGACCTCAGCAATTCTTGCACTCTAACTTGGGTTTTTAAAACTGAAGAAACACAGACTTGTTCTTCCTGATGGCTCACAAAATGTAAAATTCTAAAAAGATGCTATACATCTGCATTAAGACACTGCCTTAGCTCAGAATGCAGTCAGAAAGCCACACTTTCAGCCCTTTTGTCTTTCATCTGCTGGCTCTTTACTACATGAGCCACAGGCAACACAGAGGATCTGACCAAAGTTCTCGATGCACCAGGACACCAGACAACTAAAGAAAAATAACGAGAAATCCAAAGCATGGGCTCTTACAGCCAATCTAAGCTCAGATCAGGGTCTATCTTCCCTTCTCTGTGAAAGACAAATGTCTGAGCTCACACCTTCAGTTCTGTTAAGGAAAGCACTAAAAGGCCCTATCACTGATCATCAGAGCACAGCTGAGAGTGTTAGAAACTTCCACAGCTTTCAGGCTAAGAGCCACACACAGCAGCTGTACTGAGCACTCAGTACCTGTCGGCCACTTGTTTTATAGATCAAAAGAAATCATCTTATTTTCAAATTTATATTTATCTTCAGATTTTTGAGTCCCATTTGAAAGGGTGGATGTGTCATTTGTTTTCTTTAGAAACTCCAAGTCTTTCTCAGACACAGAAACTTCAAGGCTTGCTTGAGCTTCATGCAACCCCTTCTCAAAAAGGAGAAGAAGGGGTTGGGGGGACAGAGAAGAAATAAAAAGATTATGTGACATTCTCCTTGACTATGTCAGGTTTGAAGTGTGAGGAATCTATGTGGCACAATGGAACAGCTGAGTCTGCATTTCAGATGTTTGAGGCGCAGCTCTTCCCAAATCGAGGTGGGATTTCTTTAGTCCGTCTAAACTTATTTTTCTTCACTCTTAGAAAAGAAACAAGTGATGGCGCCCAGGGCCCTGCTGACAGCGCTACTGCACGGTGGCCCTTCTCTCTAAACTTGGGGAGGATGTTTGAATGAGTAGGATGGCCACAAGCTGGACCAGCCACCCTCATTCTTCTCCTCCCTGAAATTTGCCATGCCTCCTCAAAGTTTCCCTGGTGCTCTGAAAGTTCATTGCTGTGCTTAGAAAATTCCCTATGTGTTTATGTTCCCTTTAAAACTGAACATGCAGCTAAAACACTTTTAATAAAAACTAAGTAGAAATCATAAGCACATGTCCCCCAAAGCACATGTCATGTATAAAAAGATTCTAATAAACACAACTGAATTAATCTGCACATTGTCTTTTTAAAGTGCACCGCAGTAAATTGTAACAACATTTTCATTGTCACTAGCCCCCTTGAGTTTTGCTTTTAAATAAAGCTAAGTGTCTATCAACAGAGATGCATAGGGATTTGACTCCAATATAATGGCAATGAGCAGCAGTGTCTTATAGGAAAGGAAAGGAATGGATTAACTCAACCAAGCTTACATCAGCAGCATAAAAACCACCTACAATTCAAGTTATTGGCAGGTTCAATGAAGCACAATTCTGATTCATGCTACAAAAATAAAACCAGTCAATTAAACTAACAAAAATCGCCCCCCCCCCACACATCTTAAAGTTTTCTTAACCTAGAGGTAAACATATATACCACTCACTTACAGTATATTCTTGACTTCAGGATCAAAGTACTTAACATACACTCACACTTACAAACACACACACATTATAAAAAAAAAAAAACGTTTAGAAGCCATATGAAAAAGTTCAGTCAGTAAAGAGCCATAGTCACTACAAATGCCTCAGAGTCACCGTATTCACAACACCGTCCGGTGCTCCCCACACACATAGACAGCACTGGGGCGTATCCGTCGCCTTGTGTGCCCGGGGAGCCGTGGCAAGAACTTGAAGGACTTGGGCATCATGTCCAAGCAGGCATCATGAAACTTCTTAATCCTCCAGTAGTATATCAGTGGGTTCAATGCAGACTTGAGGTAGCAGAGCCACAGCAGCCAGGTGCTAATCTCAAAGAAGTTGTGCTGATAGTAGAAGTGCTCACTGAAGGTAGCCACAAGGCTGTATGTGGTGAAGGGGGCCCAGCAGACAATGAAAACAGCGAAGAGGATCAAAATGGTGGTGAAGGCACGTGTTTTAAAGCCCATGTCGATGCTCATCTGGAAGGGTCTCTGTAGACTCATGAGACCAAGTTTGCTGGCCTGGCTGAGACATATCCCTTCCGGGTAGCTATGAATCCTCAAGGCGTTGTGCCGAAGGGTATTGAGGATGCCCATGAATGAATACAGTATCACCAGGAAAGGTATAAAGAAAGAAATGAGAGAAATCAAAATCACATAAGCCTGGTATCCGGAATTGGTTGTATACCCAAACACACACTGTGGGGCCCGAGAAGGTATCTGCAGATCAGGATTTCCCACAGCCAAAGGAAAAGCTATGGAAAAAGCCGTTGCCCAGGAGACTGCGATGAGGACCTTAGCCCTGTAAGGATTTAGCTTATCTTGCCTCTGAACTATGATCAGGAACCTGTCGATGCTGATGATGAGCAGGATGGCCACTCCCTCTATCACAAACAACCAGAAGAACATAGCAGACAACCTGCAGAAGAATTTCCCAAATATCCATCTGGTGGTAAGAAGAGTTACCAAGGCAAAGGGCATGTTCAGCACTGCAAGCAGCATGTCTGCAAAAGCCAGGCTGGCAAGAAGGATGTTAATCGCAGAGCGCATAGCAGCTTTCTGGTAAACCATGAGGCAAACAACCAAATTTCCAAGAAAAGACACAAACAGAATAAATATCATTACAGCCGAGAGGATGATCTGGACAGCTAAGTTTAGGCTCCTGACAACTGCGGGTGTTGGGCTTACAGCTGTGCTGTTCGCTGCCAAGGAACTAAATCCAGTGCTAGTCATGGTTTCAAGACTGTATCTAAGCAACGGGCCAGTGCCAGGAGGCTGAAATGGTAGAGGGACTGTAGTGTTCACATGGGAGTTTTCATAGATTACAAATGTCGTATTGAATGTCCCAGAATGGGATGCAGTCAACACTGCTGAGACAACCATGGTTCTAGGAGGATGGTAGGTTCAGGCAGAAATGTGGGTCCTCATCGGGCATTTTGATACAGCACTGTAGGGTCAGGTTCCACTGATGGGCTTCAATACACATTCTTGAAAACAGACAGAGTTCCATCTTCCACAAGAATCCTTTTGCCTGAAAATAAGCACAAAACAAAGACCATGAGATCAGATTAGTAAACACATGTGACTATGTTGTGTCACCTATCCAAGTACTGGCTAGGACTGTATTCCCTGCTTAGCTTCTGAGGTCATACAAGGCTGAGTGTGGTCAGGATAGCATAGCTGTAGACACATTTGACTTTTCTATCTTTCATCATGTAGGGTCACTCTTTTTCCTTCTAACCCTCTAAAACTCTGTCCTGCTATACAATCTTAGAAATTTTATAGTATTTGTATATAAAGCAAGATGGATCTTGAAATGCATTAAGAACCAAGAACAGAAGTCAAAACCTTATGTTGGATGCTTTTTAGCTTCAGTGGTCCTCTCTAGGAATCAGATCATTGAGAAAGACTGTAAGTGTCGGAGGTTGGAGAAGATCTGAGAAAAACTGTCCTTTTGGATTTGGGAGGCCTGTAGGAGTCACGAACTCACAGCAGCTATGGTTGCATGCACAAGATAAAGCCATTGTGGCAGGAGTGGGAGGGGTTTTGAGACCTATCTGAGGTGCTCTGGATAACGATAGCCTTGGCTGGAGGGGGCGAGTTTCCTTTGATGGTGTGGTCCTGGTAGGCTGGTCACGCTTCAGTGTATGGCCGTACATGTAGAAGTAAACGGGCAGCACAAACTGGACTCACTGGGTTATTGAATCAAATAAAGAAGACACATGGGATATGGCGAAGGGTGGTGGATCTTAGAGGCCTGAGAAGGGTCAAAACACACTGTATGAAAATTTTCCCACATTAATAAAACATTAAAAAATAAACTTCAAAAAACTATACTATCAAAGCTTTCCACAGTCACTATTAATGCAGATTTCACTAATTTTCTTAGGAGAAAAAATTTTAAGTTCTTTCCTACGGGTTCTTATTCCATCTTTACATTAGCATAAAGCTCGATGGCAAAAATAACCTAACCTCAATTCCCAGCTTAACATGCTGGTAATAGCACACTTTAGGTTTGACAGCTCTTAAAGGTAAGAACGGGGGTTATTTTCAATTAAGATCTGAAATTTTTCTTGGCTTTTCTTCCCCCTTTCTCCCTTCCATCTGCCTCTTTCTAATTCCTCCTCTTTTCCCTCTCTATCCCCTCCTTTTGTGTCCTTATGACCTTTTCTCATATCCATCCCCTTCCAGAAATTCCCCACCAACCATACTAGAAAAAGCCATTCAAGTAAAGAAGTCACTTTTCCTAAGCTTCTCTCTTTTCTTCTAAGCCTGTCCATTTTCATCATTTTTTTTCTTCTGATGTGAAGACTTCTGTTTCTCCCAAAGACTGAATTGATACTGTTAGCAAATTCACAGGGGATGCTAACCAAGTAAGAAAGATGGAGGTGTTAAGGAACAGAGAAAAAAGGTCCCTGGATATTCAGAAACTATTCAGAAACTCACAAAGATATCTGACTATCTTTTCTCGAAGACTTGCTTACCTTTTACTTAGTATGACTCCCAACCTCTCACCAACTTATGAAGCCCTCAGTTTTATGTAAGGGGATTCCTCAATCTATGATCCTATCAACCCACATTCTGACATGGCTTCTTCCTTCTGTTGGCCTTAAGTAGGGAGAATCTCTAGAGTTACAAAGGACTAGATTTCTGCATAGATACCGTCAACAAACCCTTAAAAGCTTAAAAACATCAATACATAGAAGACAAAGGCAAAAATCTTGTTAACTCATTGTATAGCCTTAGAATCAGTCATTGATTTTCAAAGGCAATTGTCAGCATTTCACGCATTTCTTGGTGTCAAAGGAAGAGATGGGTCTCATTTGTGAGATCCAAGACGCAGCATCTGCAGTGAGGTCATGCTCCTTCTACCAGCTTTTCATCCATAATTGACTATCCTGTTAGGACTGATTTTATGAATAATAAAAACAGTAGTCTGTTTGCATACAACACTGATTGTACTATTTCCTCTCGTTCTACACCTTACTGTTGTTAGCCCTACTAGATTTTCTCTGTACTCACATGTTCACTCTAAAAGGTGAACACACCTTGACAAAATGTCACATTAGACATAGTCACATTAGTGACTACTGAAGTCTATAATCACAAAGGGGCAGTGGGAAAGGAACCAAGATTAGTATAGTTTTTCATCCTAATCATGCCAGTCTGTTCAGAAAGACCCCGAGTACAAACTACCACCAGAGAAAAATTTGTGTAGACAGACATTTTAATTCTAAGACAATAGCTTAAATCATGTTTGGTCAACTGTGTTAAAATGTTTAAAATTGTGTTTCAGGGATGTCAAGGTGGCTTAGTGAATAAAAGCACTTGCCAGCAAGCCTGACAGTGTGGATGTGGTCACTGGTAAAGGAGAGAACTAAATCTCACAAGTTGTCCACTGATTTCTATAGGTGTTTTGTGACATATACATTCTTCTCCATAAATATATGTATACATGATTAATAAGAAAAATGTAATATAAAATTTAAATTGTATTTCAACAAGCATTTATTGAAACTGCAGTAGTAAATTCAAAATACTGAATGTCCTTGGGGCTAGAAGGACAGAGGTAGAGGCCTTGCCTAGTATGCAAGAGGGACTAGATTCAACTCCCTGAACAGCAAAATTAACTGACCAAAAATAATTAAATTAGAAGCTGGGCATGGTGGTACATGCCTGTAATCCCAGCACTGTGGGAGGGCTGAGGCAGGTGGATCTTTGTGAGTTAAAAGCCAGGCTGGTCAACAAAGTGAGTACAAGACAACCAAGGCAACACAGAGAAACCCAGTTGCAAATAAAACAAACAAAAAAATTTAGACTAAATTAGATTTAGTTTTTTGATCATGATGAGGAACAACAATTACAAATGGAAAGAAACAAAAGCAAAATATTAAGTTAAATGTGCTTTTTAACTTTTTATAGTTCCATATAAAACCAAAGCATCTTCTTTTTTGCCAAGCCTCCCATTACTACACCAACTTTAACTCAATTCATTCAATTACTGCTCAGCCTTCAAATATTTGCTGAAGGCATGCTATGTTCCAGTTACTAAAAGTAAAGTGATTAACAAAAGGTCCTAGATTTTCGCTTAAAGAGAGCAGAGTGACCAAGGACACTGTAACTTGAAATTCACTCTGAATAGGTTTTGTATCAATATATATATAAACTAAAAAGATTAAATATGTAACTTTAAAATCCATTAGTAAAGTTTTTGTTTGTTTTTACTTTTGGAGGTCTGTAGACCTCCAAAGAGACTCTAATTAGCAGTGACCACAGAAAAGCTCAGGTGGGGCTGACAACAAGGACACTGGAAGCCCGTGTGAGGCCTATGTCTCCTCCACTGTGGACTCAGAAGCAGCAAGTGTACATCTCCAGTCAAGTAGCTCAAGGCTGAACTCACTAGCACCACCGTGCTGGAAAAGGTCGGTGTTGGGCTGCAAATGGGATCAAACAAATGCCAACAGCCCACAGGCATGCCAGTTCTTCCCCAGCTGCTGGCATCTGCACCAGGCCACCCGCACAGGCAGGCAGCCCCATCTGGGAGCTCACAGAGTGAAAACTCACCTCCACGAGGGAACCCTGACCCCCCACATGCTAAAGGCCTCTTACAAGTTCCATCACTTCTCAACAGTGCTACGCTGGACACCAACCCTCAACATGAACTTTGGTGAGAATAATCGCAGTGAGATCATAACATCACCAAAACAAAACTAATGCTATAGAACAAAGGTGAAAGGTTTTGTTTTAGTACACCTGATGAAGAATAAGCATTCAACATGAAATCCATATCTTTTAAAAGCAATTCAATTTAGTCTAATTTTAGCAAGATACAAAAAAAAAATGTGTTAACTTGGTCCTTTACTTATCATCTCTTTTTAATTTACTCTAATTGTTATATAAATACAGATAAGTAACACATGTGTTTCTATGGCCCAAACCAAGTTTCTGAGTTCTAGCCTTACGTGTGCACATGTGTGTTTCTATGCAGGGCATGAAGGCATGAGTGCAGGAACCAAAGAGGCCAGAAGATGGTGTGAGACTTTTCCAGAGCTGGAATTACAAGCAATTACGAGCCATCCAACCTACAGAGATCCTAGGAACTGAGTTGGGGTCCTCTGTAAGAGTATGGTCTTCACTTTGGAAATCAATATGGCACTTTCTCAGAAAATTACTCAGGATGATCTTTTCTAGTTCCTACCATTTGCTGACAAAATTCATGATTTCCTTATTTTTAATAGCTGAGTAGTATTCCATTGTGTAAATGTACCACAATTTCTGTATCCATTCCTCCACTGAGGGACATCTAGGCTGTTTCCAGATTCTGGCTATTACGAATAGAGCTGCTAAGAACATGGTTGAGCAAATGTCCTTATTGAATGGTGGGGCATCTTTTGGGTATATGCCTAGGAGTGGTATAGCTGGATCTTAAGGTAGCACTATTCCTAATTTTCTGTTTCTGACTCACTTCCTTCCTCCAGGTTCCTGCCTTGGGCTCCTGCCCTGGCTCCTTCCATGACAAATGACAACAATAAGCTAAAATAAACTCTTTCCTCCTCAGGTAGCTTTTGGTCTGTGTTTTATCACAGCAGGAGAGATCAAATGAGGACTGTCACGTTAAACTTCCTGGTGCCATCCCTTCCTTCATGCTCATGCATGCTACCTGGAGGATAAACTCCTCAGGATTCTCAAAGCATTCAAAGTGAAATGATTTGGGGTGGGGTGTAGAAAGGAAGATTGGGTAGACACATTTTTCTTTACCCAGATAAAAGTTCAGTATTTAGTATATACTTGGCAAAAATCCACTGAGATATTAATTTTTGTCACTGCACTCAGATTTTTTATTTCCTGTCAGGAAATCCTTAAGAGTTGTTTTATAGAATTGCTTTTGAAGAATCTACTTTTCTGACTCTGTGTTGCTTTTCAATGGTTCTTTAGTGAAATGCTTGGTGTGTGTTATCCAAACAGGGTCTCACTATAAAGCTCTGTCTGTCCCAGAACTCACTATGTAGATCAAGCTGGCCTTGAATCACA